TTAATCTCCCCTTCCTCAAACTCGTCGTCCTGGCTCTCGGGCACTTCGTTCACATTCCCTGCCGGGTTCAACGAGCCTGACCGGTCTAGGCTTTCCTGCAATAATGTGTTGACGAGGAGATACATTCCTCCCATCAGGTCCTCATGCCGTTCTACCTGGCCAGGTCCTTCCTTAATCGTTCTCATGTCCTCCACCAGGCTATGGGAGCTGGCCAGCGCTAGCTCCATCATCCACTGAACATCCTTAGCGCCCCAGGGATCTTCTTCCTCAAAAGGCTTAAGGACTAGCTCATTCCTCCTTGCATACCCCTTTGGCGTTTGCCAGATATGATAGCCTACACGACTGGGCACTCGTAGCGACCATTTGTTGATATGGAGGCGAACATCTTCCTTCTGATCCAGAAATCCATCAACTGGGGGTGTATTCTCCACCGCTTCTCCTTCCTGCTTATCCCAGTTGATCCGACTCAGCCCGTCCGCCCGATTCTTACTACCAGGAATCCGTTCTAATTCGAAATTGAACATCCAGATGTACGTCAGCCATCTAGCAATCGTCGGATCCGATGGAACGCAATTCCTTAGAGAGTAGGTCAGGGCGGTCGGATCCACTCTCAAAATAAATCTCCTGCCGAAGACATAGTTCCGGAAGATTCGCAGACAAAGGAGGACAGCAAGGGTCTCCCTTTTGAGCTGAGAGTAGTTCCTCTTTGTTGTACAGAGAGTTCGACTCTCAAATCGCAAGGGTCTTTCCTTTCCTTTCATGTCTGCCTGTATTAGAACTCCCCCTAAGGCAGTCAGCCCCGCATCCGTTTCGACAATGAAGGGTCGCGTCTCTGTGGCGTCATAATCTGGCGCTCCTAATACCAACCCTCCTTCTCGGAATTCCTCTTTCATTTTTTCCACCACCTCTTCTTGTTCTTCACCCCATACCCATTTCTGATCCTGACGGACCAACTTCCTCAGGTGTTCAGTCTTAGCGGCAAAATTCTTGACGAAGAGCCTCCAAAATCCACACGTACCAAGGAAGCTCCTGACATCAGTTATTGAGTGGAACGGAACTGGCCACTCAGTAATCCTGTCCGTCTTTTTCACATCCGGTCTTTTCACTGCAGACGAACCCTAAGATAGTCGCTTCCCTCATGCAGTGTCTGGATTTGGCCCCGCTTGCCGTGAGATTATGCTCTTCGAGCAGGCTTAGAACCTTTTCGAGGTCCTGGATGTGTTTCCAGACAAAACGCCTTACCCCTGGTGAGACTTCATCGCTCTCTTTCACCGCTGGCCCCTTCACTGCTAAATCATCAACGTATGGCTGTGTGATATGGGGGCTGACTGACTGCATGGCCCGAATCATGGCCCGTTGGACCATTGCTACCGCATTGGTCCACCCTTGAGGGGCCACGTTCATGTGGATTAATCCTCGCGGCGTATGCATAGCCGTCACCGGCCTATCCGGTGTGTAGACTAGGAACTGATCGTATCCTGAGTAAAGGTCTATAAGCGAAATTATAGGCCTTCCAGCACAGGATTTCGACAGCGCGTCTGCATTCGGCAGCCTTCCAGCGTCCCGCACGGTCACCGCATTCAGTCTTTGCAAATCCTGCACCCACCGCAGTGTCCCGTTAGGCTTAATGAAGCAGAACCACGGGGACGCATACGGTCCACTTGAATAGTCGGCGACGTGAGTACGTATCTTGCCATCGAGATAATCCACCACCTTCTTTTCCTCGTCAGGATTGGGATATCGCGCCCCTCTCATGTTCCAAGGCTCGT